TCTGGAATTTAGGCAAAATGGCTTAAGGATTAAGCTCATAATAAGAAGGAAACAGACTCAGTCACATGTGTTGGGCGTAACCCAGGTACGTTGCGCCTACTAGGTGAACCCAACGCATTTTGGTCAAGTCTCGTGTACGCCAAGCGTACAAGTTGAGTACGTTGGGCATACTCAGGTGTATTGACCAAGTTTGACTTTTTGACCTTTTGACTTTGACCAGGATTTTACCAAGTTTGACCTGAGGGTATTTTGGGTTGTATTTGTGATTAGTCACTATTTGTTGAATAGGTGACTCTTAGAGCTGATATTTGGAGCAGTGTCCTGTTCAACAATCTTTTCAGACTGAGAGGTGAGTTTTCTCACTGTTCTTGTGGGTCGAAGGCACTAATGTCGACCCATTAGTTTATGTATCCTGGTATAGAGGATGTTGCTATGCTATAGTGATCTGTTAGATCTGTGTCCTTCATTATAGGATATTGCTATGTGGTAGTGATCGGTAGATTTGTCTGTTTGTCTGTTGACTAGTTATATGATTATCTATTGTTGGATATATGTTATTGTTATTTATATTTCGACATGATATGGTGGGGTTGAGACTGTACTGCTTTGTGTTGTCAATTAACAAGCCGGGGCATTCCAACCAGGAGGTTGTGGGCCAAGGGTAATCTAACCAGGAGGTTGTGGACCAGGGGTAATCTAACCAGGAGGTTGTGGACCAGTTATGTATTGGGCAAGCCAAACGAAAGGTTGTGGGCCAGGGCATTCCAACCGTAAGGTTGTGGGCTAGGGGTAATCCAACCAAGAGGTTATGGACCTGGTATCTGTTTGGTTATATGTTTGTGCGGTGGTACTTTGGGGGAACTCACTAAGCTTTGGCTTATTGTTTCAGTTTATTGTTTCACGTACTTCAGATGACCGTGGCAAGGGGAATGCTTTATCGTGCACATCCTTCGGATTTATTTTATTCGGATTTTGGAATACTTTGATTATTGAATAACACTTTTTAAACAATGATTTTGTAAACAATTATGGTTATTGGGTTGTTTTTGAAAAGTTAAAATTTATTGTGATTTATTGGATGTTACAATTATTTTAATGACTATTTTTTAATTCTTATTTTTTAAGAGTTGTACTTTGAAAATTTTCCACATCGTAACGTTCAACTTCTGAATTTTTTTATTACAAAATGGGTTATGGAAAAATCTATATTATTGTAATTTAATACACATAAATATGATTAATTGCATTGATTGTCTTTACATATTTGATGTGGTTTGCAAAATACCCTTATTTGATTTTTGATTTTAAAATTATTTGATATGTCATTTTAATTGACTTAAATTGTTTTTATATATTTTTTCTATATAATATTGAGTTTTATTTTGTATATATAATATATTAGATTATTTTGTCACTAAATAATAAAATATAAAATAAAATATAATTAAGAGGAATAAAATAATAGTGTTATAATTAAGATGATGGTTATATCTAAATGTATCATATATAAATAGTTGTAAATATTAAGTGTTTAATAAATAGTAATAAAATAAAGTTATCCAAGTTATTGAGTGTTTGATAGATTAGTAGTAATTTATAAAAGCTACCATTAAATATGATCTAAGTTGTGAAAATGTTTTTTTTAACTTTACTTAATATTTATCAAAAACGTTCATGAGCCATTTGTTATAAATGTTTTAAAATCGGTTTTTTAATTAATTAACCATAACAGTAGTAAGAAATATTACTCAATGAAATAAATAATATGTATATTGATTTATCATAACAATAGTTAAAACTTAAAAGTAACACTTATTGTATTTAATTTTATTTATGTGTAAACTATTGGTATAGGACATTGCAAAATTTGATTACAATATATGTTTATCCTATCATATTATTCAAAAAGCTTACAATTTTGTATAACAACATAACGTAAAAATTATTATTTTGTAGTTAATGTGAATAACTACATAATCTTAACCTGTGCAACGCGCAATAATTTGTTTAGCGCGCGCGCGCGTGTGTGTGTGTGTGTGTGTGTGTGTGTATATATATATATATATATATATATATATATATATATATATAGAGAGAGAGAGAGAGAGAGAGAGAGAGAGACGAAAGATCATTTGACAACCTATACTTTCCCGAGAACCCGAGAACCAAACGAGGACCGTTATATCAAAATAATAGAGGGTCAAGATGATTTGTGGCATTTTTGTAAAAACTTGGAAACAAAAAGCACGGGGGTATCTTATTTCAATTTGTTAGAGGGCATTTTAGGGATAGAAAACTTATACCTGATCCTGTGAAACCCTTTACTTATACTATTTTTCTCTGTTCGTCATCAAATCTCTCTCCCTCTCACATTCTTCATTGACGATAAAGACGACTGCCTCCTCCATCATCCGTCGTCGATCGCCTCCCTCCTCCCTTCACCGACCACCTCTACCTCTGTCGACCGCCACACTCCTTGATCGCTCGTTCTTCATAGAAAAAATTCCACTGAAGATGCTTTGATTTTGAATCGTTTTATCCACAGTCAATTCGTTCCCCGAACTACACCATAATCTCCGACTTTACCTCAGCCTCCTCTGTGGATTGAAGACCTGAACGGAGAAGAAGATCCCTTGTCGATCAAGAATTCAAAGTGTAAACAATATGAAAATTGCATCTGGTCTCGATCTCTATACTTACGCCTGAAGCACTTGACCTTAGCCTATCAGACTATCCCTAACTCTCGATATCGGTCTCAATTTTCCTCCACTAGAACTTGCCTAAACAGAGGTTTTTATTTTTCTGCATTTCTTCGGTTTTTTAGATCAGATTTTGCTTTTTCTTTTCTGCATTACCAAAATTAAGTTGACAATCTATATGCTTGTTCGTATTCTGATTTAGTTATCGGATTCAATAAAGTATGTGGTATTGAAATTACTTACACTTTAGAAGGTTTCTTATTAAGAAGAACATTTTCATGAAAATATAAAATTCTAGTGCTCTTTTCCTTCATTTGTTGCCTTATGAATATTGTTGTTCTCTTTAACATGGACCCGTCTGGTGAAAATATAGTCAATTTGTATTCAAAGTGTCAGGTTTTCTGAAGTGCACACAAGTTCCTCGATGAAAGTCCTGAACCAGATTTAGTTCCTTTGCTTTAATATCAAGGTAGATTGGCTTAATACAAGTATACAACTTTGCATTCCTTTGTTCATTTCTAATAATCCATGATATTTTCTTATTTACTGGAGTTCTATTTGTAGTTAACCTTGCTTGTATATGAGATTCTATAAAAAGACTTAGTGGTGACTCCAAGAAGATCAACCCCTTGGTAAGTAATATTCTGATTATCTACTTCACATATTTTTTTAAAACATCAATAGTTTTTAATTATTTCATATCTTCATATTTCCCAAGTGCCAGTAGACATTGTAATTGACCATTAAGCTAAAGTTGATGTTTCAAGAAGTTCAAATGGTGAACTTTGCAAATCCTTAAAGTTTTCAAATTGAAAACAGAAATGATTATGGATTTGTTAAAGTGATAAGAAATTTAAAACAAAGAAGGAATCCGGTATTCGGACAAAATAAGATTTCTACATTCAACTTGAAAACTGAAATTTTTATACCTAGCTTGTTTTTTGAGTGAAAAGGGGATGTATTAAATATGAATGTTCTAAAAAAAGTTTAAAACGAAGTCACTCACATGCTTTAAGAGTTTATATGCACAGTAAGGTGGAATTTAAAAAGTTGTGCATTTGATAGAAGGTCTATAGATGTTTTATTATCAAAACAAGTTTCGTTTAATTCATTAGATATTCTGAAAGTTGGTTAAAGAAGTGGGACCAATTGACAAGTGATCCAATGATACCTTGAATATTTTGTAATTATTATTATTATTGGTGTTTAGAAACTGCTTTAAGTTTATTTGTAATTATAAGTTATAACCATATTTTTTTAATTACTACAAGAAAAATGACTTACAGTCAAACCAAAAAAGTGTGACCATATGCGTATAGTGACATTTTATTTTTTCACTGAAAGTGTGACGGAAGGTGACGTCATCGTATGGGTCTTATGGTCACTTTAAAATGTAGTGTCTGTATGATATGAAAACATTTGGCCGTATTATAAAAGTGTGGCAAATGTGTACGGAATTTTGTTCCTTAAATATCCAATATTGTAGCGTTAAACCGTCAGTAGTCACATTTATTTAGTAATGTGGTGACTGTATATCACCACCTTGCGACATTCATGATGTTTTAGTGTAGTTGTTTTGTTTTATATTGTCACACAGATTAAATTTTATTAACACTATTGTGTATGTTTTGTAAACAAGTAATTACGGTGAGCATGATCATATTTGCTAAATGGTGACATGTAATTAATTCCATAAGTGGCGAATTGCTAATAATTAGTCACAAAAAACAATCAATTTTTGTGACTATAGTCTATCGTATAGAGACACACAATTAAGTGAAATACAATCATAAGTATTATAAAGACACACATTTTGTTAAAATTAAGGACTATTCGATATCGTATTAGCACTATTGGGTATATTTTAGACACATATAATTACGGTGAACGTGTCCATGTTCAGTAAATGGACACATATAATTAATGATGTAAGTGACGATTTGGTAGTATTTAGTCACAAAAACAATCAATTATGGTATTTATTTGCCACATAAATTGTTTTTCATGTTGTTATTTTTTAACTTAGTCACAAAAACTTTAGAATAAACATCATTATATAACAACTTTAGACTCATAATTCTTGTATATTATAGCTATTGTTAACCATTTAGCCACACGTTAAAAAATGATATAAAGTAACCATTATATAATTTTAGAGACATTGAAAACCTATAAAACATAGCCAAATTCATATTAAAGCCACAATAATTCAATTTTTATTGTTACTTTTTCTACATTGTAGACACATCAAAATAATTTAAATTAAAGTAACCAAACCCAACAATATGAAACAATATCATAACGCATAATTTCATATATAGTAAAAATTGAAATCCAAATCCATACATTAAATTCCTAATTAAAATACCAAAAAACAAAAATTGTACTAATTGAAAGTATTTAAATTATGGTAAAAAAACTAACACATCACAAACCAAAACCTAGACGTAACTAGACATTCATCTTATTAGTATTGTTCTTTGTCTTCTTGAGAATGGAATCAGATGATATGTAAGTTGGTTTCCTTTTCTTTGAGTTTTGAAGTTGATGGTCTTCATGTGATATAATATTTGGTACCTATACCAACAACATTGAAACAAAAAAATGAGTTCATTAAAAACTTAGTATACAAGTTTACAAAGAAAAAAAGTGTAATGTACAAAGAAGTTAACATAAAATGCAGGTTAACAAAAATAAAATGCAGGTTAACAAAAATTAGATGTTGTTAATCAAGAAGATTAAAGTTGACCAGCTTTCTCCGTTACGATAAATTCATAAGCATGCAACATTTCAAGTGCTACAAAAACATAAGTTAAAAGCAAGCAACCCAACATTTAACTTTTTCATTGAATAAAGTTTACCAAAAGTGAATCACAATTAACTGGCTCATAAACCTAGGCATCAACATGCCTTAATACACCCGAAATTGTGATTTGTTCCGCAAGTAAAAGCTATAAAATCAAAACTTTAGGTTACAATTTCAACCAACCGTAACTTTGGGGGTAAAAAGTAAAAAGTTTAAAAGTAAATATACCCAAACACCAATTGTCCAGCAGTGAGCACATCTAAGCTTACAGCAGCAATAAGCACCACCATGCCCAAAACCATCAAAGCTAGCACAAAAAAGGCAACCAAGAACAAAACAATCAGTCGATAGGGGAAAGCCATCAAACCCATAATATGAAAGCAAACACCAAATAACAGCATAACACGGAAAGAACTTGATAGCATCAAGGGCTGCCACCCAACAAGATACCTGACATGGGTAAAAAGCACAAATTACATAAAGCTCTCAAAAAAGCTGTCACCATCCATCACAGGAAAATTATTAAACTGCAATCAATAATCCAAAATTCCATTCAGGCCTTGACAAAACTAGAGGACATCGTCCCGCTTCCCTCATCTACAAACAGAAAAACCAAGAAGATATGAATCAAATATATATTTCAGTTATTAACTTACATACAGGGAAAGATAAAAGCCGGTGGCATAAGTCTTGAGGCAAAGGTCACAATCTTGAATCTGACCGGTGGTTGAAGGCTCGATGATATCGTCGTCGTACAAATGGGATAATCGGTGTCTTGTGGTGCGTGCGATGTACACTAATATGAATAAAGAATTAGTCGAAATAAGAATCAAATAAGAAAATAAAACATCGATACCATATAGATACCATATAGAGGCGTACCTGGTGGACAGAGACGGTCGCTGATAACGGCGACGACATATGGTAACAGCGACACGATCAACAACCGGACACGGTGAAGGAACCTGATGGCTTCGACTGGAAATTATCAATTTCTGCATTATCTCGATTTCCCTTGGCCTAATATTGTTATATGATTCTCGATCTAATATTGTTACCGAAAGGTTGCTATCGAAGTGGCGGTGTTGGCGGAGTGGAGGTGTTGGCCGGAGGTGGATCAAGTAATGTCGATGGAAGCTGGAGAGATTGCTTTGAAGAAGAAGACGTCGTTGTTTTTTATGAGAGAGAGAGAGAGAGAGAGAGCAGCAATGTGAAATTGAGAATGCGATTGAGATGGTTGGTGAGCGACGACAATAAAATGACCAGAAGAAATGGAGAGTTCTAATCAATTGATGTGTTATTGGTGGAGGCGGTGCACGAAACAGAAGACTAAGAGTACAGGGTGTTCGCCGGTTATTAGGGTTAGATAGATTTGAGAAAGGTCCTTGAAGGGAGGTTAATAGAATTGGATCATTTAAAATTTTGGGCATTGGGAATTCGAATATTTTAGATTTCAAACGTGGGAAATTCATATATTTTAGATTTAGATACGTGGAGGGAATACTTAAATCTATATATATATATATATATATAGATATATATATATATATATATATATATATATATATATATATATATATTACATTTAGAAAAAAATAATATTTAACATTTTAATAAATATTTTTGTTAATTATATTATTTTATTTTATAATATATATTATTATTTACTATCATCTTAAAATTATATTTTTTTTAATGCAATGATAATTGTAAAACCTATGTATTTATTAATACTTATAAGTTTTTAATTACAATATAGATATTTTTATTTTACTACTAGTGGCTTGAGTTGTGAAACGAAAGTCCAATTATCCGGGGTTAGGTAGGCGTCGGTGTGGGCTTGTAGGAATCATATAGGTATGGGTGGTTAGGCGTATGGGTACACATATAAGAGTGAGGCTGGGGGTACGTGTCGATAGGGTAGATGTGGGGTGTAATTGGGATGAGCATGTGGATGCGGGTGTAGAGGTAGGGTTGGGGTGGTGTGCGGTAGGTGTATATATGTCTAGTTATGGGTTTTGTAGTTTATATAGGGTTAGGCTTGGTAGGCGTGGGAGTGTTGTCATAGGAGTGTGGGTGTTGTGATAGGAGTGTGGGTGTTGGGTGGATAGATGGGTGGTATGGTTGGGTAGATGGGTGGGTGGGTGTGGGGTGTGGGTACGGGGAATGAAGGTATGGTGAGGTGGAGGTAGGGTGGGGTAAGTATCGATATAGGTAGGTGTAAGTAGAGTGTGGGTGCGGGTGAAGATGGGTATAGTTGGATGGCTTATGGCTTATAGCGTAGGGTTTAGGGCTTAGGCCTTATAATTGAAGGCTTAAGATTTGTGGTTTAAGCCTTGAGTTATAAGCCTTAAGCTTCAAGCCATAATTTATACGTCATAATCCTTAATCCATAAGCCATGAGTCATAAGCCACAAGTCATAACCCATATCCATAAACAACAAGCCCATGGCAATAAACTCGAAGCTCTAAGCAATAAGCAATGAGCCATGAGCCTAATTTGTAAGCCTTAATTCTTAGGCCATAAACATAAGTCATAACCCCTAAGCCTTAATCCTTATTTCCTAAGCCATTACCTATAACCATAACCACAAGCCACAAGCCCTAAGGTATAAGCTATAAAACATAAACCATAAACCTTGACATCTATTCATTAAACCATAAACCCCAAGCATACAACCTCAATCCATAAGCCATAAGGCACAAGCCCAAAGTCATACATTGTGCGCCCTAAGCCCCAAGCTATAAGTCATAAGTCATAAGCCAAATCTATAAGCCACAAGCCATTAACCATAATGTATAAGCCATAAGTCATAATTCCTAAGTGCTAACCCTTAAGCCCTAAGTAATATACCATAATCCATAAGCCTTAGGCCTTAATTCATAATCCATAAGCCCTAAGTCACGAGTCATAAGTCATAATTCATAAACCATAAGTCGTAAACCTTAATTCCCAATCATAAGCCTTATTCCCTAAGCCATACATCATAAGTCATAAGCCCTAAGCATAAGCAATAAGCATGAGATGTAAACATATACATGATTAATTATACAAGTTACATGAACTTTGAGCATGAAATTTTAAAAACACCATTATTTATCTTCTTTTAACATTTTTTGTTACTAATTTTTGTTAAAACAACATTATAAGTGGTCCCTACTCCCCACTTGACCTACCAAAACTCCAACCATACCAAAACTCAACCGATCCTCACCCCTAACACACTCCAACCATGAGATTCCTTTTATTATTACCTTTTCTTGTCATCTTCTATGGTCACATAGAACAATCCCACAAATCATACACTTGTATGATCATATAAAAACAAATCCCTTTTTTGACATGATATTAAAACGATAATAGCATGAAACGTCGTGTCAGCGACGTGTTCGTGTTTATAAGTCGTGTATATTTAGTACCATTATATAATGTTATATTTATTAATGTTATATTTAATGTTATATTTAATGTTATATTATTAGAATTAATGTTATATTTATTAATTTTTTAATAATTTTTTTAATAAGTAATGGTCCCCGATTAATCCCCGCCTAGCCGATTAATCCCTAGACCCCGGTCCAACGCCTAGCTAATGTCTAGCGTTTTTTACAACCTTGCTTTTTACTCTACAAAATTACATTTGATCTCTTTCAACTTCTCGGTAATTTCAAATCAACATTAGGTGTTCCTATCCGTACACAACGCACCATTCATCTCCTTCCCAAAGTCGACAATCATCTCCATACAAGGTAGTCCACTACAAGGTATCAATCATCGAACAAGGCATTGTTCATCTCCTTCCAAAATACAAGTATGCTATAAAATGTAAAACACGGGAGCCTTCTTTTTTCATTTCCTTTCATCGACACCCCCTTCTTCTCTATCCTACCCCTTTCTCCTCCATCTGTAATATCCTGTTTGCTCAAAGACATGGGAGAAAAGAAGGCATTTAAGTTTGGTTTAGATTATGTTTAATTTTGATTTATGTTCAATTTGGATTTTAAATGTTGATTATATATATATTTTTTTATAATTATTTAAGAAATTGATTGTGTTATTTTATAAACAGACACTTGAATTCACTAAAAAATGAAAGAGAAGGGTAAGTGTGTGTGCTTGTTATAATGCTTGAAAAAATACATATGCTTATGGTCCTAAATAGATACTTTTATACTTGTGTCCTAGGCTCTACAAAAGGACCACAGACGCATTCAAGGGCATTATGTTCCAATAAATGTTTTGGCTTTCAATCCTAATAGGAAAATGTACATTCTTTTTTGTTTAAGAGAATTAAAAAATTGAAATGATGTCAATGAGACAAAGGTTGTAGTTTTGTTTGTTTCATTAATATATTTTAACTTGTCAACACTTGTGATTATTAATAGGAAAAGTAACGAGCTTATCATTTGTATTTGTATTCTTTTTTTTATTATTAAACAATGACCATAAATATAGTAACATATTCAATAAACGACCCATAATTATACCGATAAGACATTATTGTTCTTTTATAACTATATTTACATATAGACACATATAATAACTGTAATCATAACTAAATGCTACCTACACTCACAATATTTGTTTCTTCTCAAAGCCAATTTATCATATTTTGACACACCTAATAAAAGGCAAATGACCATAAACAACCAATACTAACTTGTTTTCTTGCGTTTACTAAGTACAATTAGTACAGAACTGCCCTATGGACACACAAATATTTAGTGTGACCATATGTATCACCTATTAGCTACTTTGTCTATTATGTGTCTAAAAAGGCACCAGGTTATAGACACACATATTCAATAAACGACCCATAATTATACCGATAAGACATTATTGTTCTTTTATAACTATATTTACATATAGACACATATAATAACTGTAATCATAACTAAATGCTACTTGCACTCACAATATTTGTTTCTTCTCAAAGCCAATTCATCATATTTTGACACACCTAATAAAAAGGTAAATGACCATAAACAACCAATACTAACTTGTTTTCTTGCGTTTACTAAGTACAACTAGTACAAAACCGCCCTATGGACACACAAATATTTAGTGTGACCATATGTATAACCTTTTAGCTACTTTGTCTGTTATGTGTCTAAAAAGGCACCAGGTTATAGACACACATACAACTGACTCATGTCACAATACGTTTATCTACAGTCTCTCATAAAAAAAGTATGACAATCTTAATCGATATCTGTGGCTGATTGTGACCTATGGCCTCAGTGTCCGAGTGTGACTAATATTTGTTACATTTGGTATAATTAAGTGTGGTTAAAGTTTTGATTATCTATATAATGGTCACACAAACTAATTTAAATGTTTCCAAAAACAATCTCTAAATTTTTTTAGTGACATTTGGCCACACTTTTAATAAAAAGTGTCACAGACCGTTTTTCGGAAAGTGTGACCGTAGGTCTTTTTTGTACTAGTGAATATATTGCAGGTTAATGTTGTTATTGTTTAGATTATGAAAACTAGGAAAGTGTTGAGTCACACTGTTTTGATAACCGAACTCTTTTAGCAGGTAAATTCATTTTCCTTAGAGAAAGTTACACATTTGATCTTTGAATATAGCTGGTTTTTGCAAATATGGTACCTAATTCCAAATACTAAGACTTTTATTTTTGGTACCAAAATTGCAAAATCAGCTTTACTCAGGGGCCAAAGGTAGACATTTTTCTGGTACGTGGACCAAAAATGTTACAAAAACTAAAATTGCAAGAAAAATTTATCAAGACCAAACTTGAAAAATCCAAATATACTTGTGGACAAAAAAGGTTGATAAATAACTACAAACATAATAAATCTTGAAATTTCTGTCATTTACTATAGGCAAAAAAGGTTGATAACCTTTAATAAGAACACAACTTAATGATTTGATTGATCACTTCACCTCCTAATACACATTTTACTTTTATTGCTGCCCTATTTCTTACCATTTCAATTTGTTTTTTAATTATAAAGTAAAGAAATGAACGAAATTATGTTGTTATTTCTTGAGTTTACCTGTATCTTGAGTAGGAATGATAGTTTTCCATGTTTGATTAAATTTTAGAATTTTATGATATGTTTGTAGTTTTTCAAATTTCATTCTGTTTCAATCATGTACAGAACCCAAAGGCCAGCTTCTATTAGTTAAAAGGCCAACTTCTGTTAGTTAATGGAAAAACAGAAGATGAAGTTTATAGAAATCTGGAAAGAATTTTTCTTACAATGAGGATAACAAAAGAAGAACCTAAGGTAACAAACGACTTACATTTATTATTGATGCAATTACTTGTTGTGTTTGTTTGATTTAAATTTAATTAGAAGGTATCTATGTATTTTGTTACAGGATGTGGCTTTTGTGATTGATGGATGGGCTATTGAAATTGCACTCAATTAATATCGGAAAGCATTCACATAGGTTGAAATATTATCACATACAACTATATGATGTTAGATTACACCATCC